GTGCTGCGTTTGACACTGTTGACCACAGCATATTACTAGACCGACTGGAAAACTGGGTGGGACTTTCGGAAACAGTTCTGAATTGGTTTGAATCTTACTTAAAGGACAGAAACAACTTTGTTTCTATAGGTAAATACACATCTGAGTCGACAAATATGACATGTGGGGTTCCTCAAGGCTCCATCTTGGGGCCTCTTCTCTTTAACATCTACATGCTACCACTGGCTCAGATAATGAAGAACAACAAAATAAGTTACCATAGCTATGCAGATGACACACAAATTTACGTAACAATTTCACCAGGAGACTATGCTCCAATTCAAACACTGAGTAAGTTGCATTGAACAAATCAATGACTGGATGTGTCAGAACTTTCTCCAATTAAACAAAGATAAAACTGAGGTAATGGTTTTTGGAGCCAAGGCAGAACGTATAAAAGTTAGCGCTGAGCTTCAGTGTGCAATGTTCAAAACAACAGATAAAGCCAGAAATCTAGGTGTAGTCATGGACTCTGACCTGAGTTTCAACAGTCACATTAAAACAGTTACTAAATCAGCCTACTATAACCTAAAGAATATATCTAGGATTAAAAGACTAGAAAAAACTTGTCCATGCTTTTATCTTCAGTAGACTCGACTATTGCAATGGTGTCTTCACAGGTCTCACAAAAAAATCTATTAGAAAGCTGCAGCTGATTCAGAACGCTGCTCGAGTCCTCACTAACACTAAGAAAGTGGATCACATCACTCCTGTTCTGAAGTCTTTACACTGGCTTCCTGTGTGTCAAAGAATAGATTTCTAAATACTGCTGCTGGTTTATAAAGCACTGAATGGTTTAGAACCAAAATACATTTCTGACCTCCTGCTTACTTATGAACCATCCAGATCTCTCAGGTCTTCAGGGACTGGTCAGCTTTCTGTCCCCAGAGTCAGAACTAAACATGGAGAAGCAGCGTTCAGTTATTATGCTCCAAATATCTGGAACAAATTCCCAGAAACCTGCAGGTCTGCTGCAACTATTGGCGCGTTTCCACTGCAGCGGGGTAGCCCCGCTTAAGCATCCCTAAGCGTCCTCGCTCTGGCCTCGGGCTGCCTCGCTGGCCGGCCCAAGCCGTGGCGCATTTCCATTACAGTTTAGGACCTGGGCTAGCAACGCAGTGTAGGCGGGGCGATCAGCTTTGTTTTTGTTCACATTTCTCGTTGTTCCGTCGAGCTCCCGCTGGATTTTATCATCCCCAATGAGATGAAGGAACGTCGTCACCTCCTCGGTCGACCACGGTGTGCTTTTCTTAGAAGTAGCCATTTTTGTAGCTCCTCCGTTTACAAAATGCTGTGTATAAAAATGCTGCAAGCTTGCTTCTAGATATATATGCGACGCTAGGGATGAACTTGCGCGCAATCTTGTGACGATTCTCTCTGACCAATCAGCAGTCGAGAGTGTTGACGTCACTAGTTCAGCCCTGGCCCTGGTCTGAGGGAACCACGATTTTATGAGGCCGGAAAAAGAGGGAAAAAGTACCCGCTGGCCGGTACTAGGCTATATGGAAACGCCACCAAAAACCGGCCTGGCCGCTTGAGGACGGTTAAGGACGCTTAAATGGGGCTACCTGCTGCAGTGGAAACGCGCCATAAGACTACTTTTAAATCCAGGCTGAAGGCTTTTCTTTTTGTCGCTGCTTTTAATTGAACTATTCATATCTTAGACTGCACTGTAACTTTTATCCATGTATTTTTTCTTTTAATGTTTATTTTATTATCTTTTCTTTTTAATGACTGATTTTAAATGCCATTTTCTTAATGTCTTTCATTTTTTGTAAAGAACTTTCAATTGCCTTGTGTTGAAAAGTGCTATATAAATAAACTTGCCTTGCCTTGCCTTGCCTTGCCTTGCCTTGCCTTGCCTTGCCTTGCCTTGCCTTGCCTTGCCTTGCCTTGCCTTGCCTTGCCTTGCCTTGCCTTGCCTTGCCTTGCCTTGCCTTGCCTTGCCTTGCCTTGCCTTGCCTTGCCTTGCCTTGCCTTGCCTTGCCTTGCCTTGCCTTGCCTTGCCTTGCCTTGCCTTGCCTTGCCTTGCCTTGCCTTGCCTTGCCTTGCCTTGCCTTGCCTTGCCTTGCCTTGCTAACCCTCCCGATTTTTGCGGTAGACTCCCGATTTCACTGCCCTCTCCCGGTTTCCTCCCAGGGTCATATTTCTCCCGCATTTCTCCCGATTTCCGACAAAATCAGATTTACTCAGGACTGTTTCCACTCGGACTTTAATACAGCTACACCATTGTTTGGTATCCATGGTAGCGCGTCTCTGTTTAGCAGCGCGCGCAACTGAAAGTCTGAGAGGGTGGGGAAAATAGTCACAGAAAACAGAACAAGAATTGACAACTCTGCTCACTCATGTCCTTCACATATGCTCCATAAAGGATGGTGCTACAGGCCGCAAGGCAGTTCCCTTACAACTACAATAAGCATGTTAATGTTAATCCAGCTCCGGCGATCCACTAGCACCCCTCCCCCCTCCCCCGCGGTGGTTTTGAAATGCTCCCGATTTCTGAGGTCTCAAGGTTGGCAAGTATGCTTTACCCGCCTCAATGTCCATGCAGTCGGAACCAGCCTGTTTCGGTTCAACAACGGCCGCAGAGCTGCTACTTACGACGCTGAAGTTGGCCTCTGATTCAGAGCATCCGATTCGGCAGTTAAGGGGAAAGTTAAGGGACATTTAATTGACAGCGCTGAGCGAACAATCCTCCGTGTTTGAACCTCTTAAATCGCTGCATAGCCGATTTATTTGGACTGGATTATCCCAGAGACTCTAAAGATTCTTTATAACACGGTTTTAGATTTGTGAAACCTTAATTCTATTTGTGAAAATTAAAAAAATGAACCCAAGGCCTTTGGGTTCGTCTGGCTTCGGTGTTTGAAGAAGGTCCAGGCTCCGGAGATGTGGATGTCAGGGATGTGACCTTCCAGTTGTTAAATTTAAGTTTAGATGGACTGTATTTAGTTTTCTTCTGCGCTGGTTTTTCTGACATGTTTGCAAGTGTATATATTCTTTCTAGCTCTAGGTTAACGGCTGACACACACACACACACAGAACAACGTAACAAATAAAGTAAACAACGTAACAAATAAACAAATCTAAGCTTTTTTATTGGTTGTAATTTACATGGACACATTAGAATGGTGTGACAATGTCCTATTTGATTGGGTTAAAATGTAGGCCAACATATTCTTCCTGTTATGTCTGCCTGCTTTATTGTACCTATTGCAAAGTGACCTGCTCCATCGAAATCAGTCGCATTGACCCGAAGACACATTTTGATTCCTAGCTTTCTAATGATATCAGGATTGTTTTTGTAGGCTACTCCAAATATTAAGCAAAATATGTCACATTATATAATGACTGTTACAGAGTCATCATTTTGAGAAAAAGGCCTTTAAAGTGTTCTCTTCTCTGGAATCCATCGATCTGATTGATTATTAGCGGAGGAAATTATCATAATACTACGGAGGGAAGATACTTTCGTTTGGATTACTGCACTCACGGGAAACACCGGCTGTTGTTATGCCTGTTGTGACGTTAAGTTACTCCGTTCTCCGTTTGTAATTATGCCGAAGCTTCAAAGTTGTATTTATCATCTGAATTTGCTGAAACAAGTTTAATATTCTGAAAGCCAAGACTTTGTTTCTTTGAAATCAGATTAAAACAAACTGTAACGGACCCTGCCGTGTTATCTATGATTATATGCCTTACATTCATAATTTCAGCGGGAGGGAGGGGGAGCGGCGCTGAGGAAGAGCAGAGTGGCCAGTGAGAGGCCAGCTGTAGTCGTCCCTTTACAAGCTTCAAAAATGCGTGTAGCTAGTGAGATTGAATATATATATAACAATAACAAATAACAAAATATACACAGCTAGATCAGATCGCGTTTTAGATGTGACTTTAGAGTAGAGAGGAATTATTGAAACGGGATTTGTACAGTTTTCCGCGGCATCTGCTGCTGCTTCCGGCGCCCTTGGTAAGAGCTACCAGGAAGGGAGTGGAGCCTGATGGGGACACTGGGGACAGAAGGTGAGGGGTAAGAGAGGCAGGAAGGGAGTGGAGCCTGATGGAGACATTGGGAACAGAAGGTGAGAGGGTAAGAGCTACCAGGAAGGGAGTGGAGCCTGATGGAGACACTGGGAACAGAAGGTGAGGGGGTTAGAGCTACCAGGAAGGGAGTGGAGCCTGATGGAGACACTGGGAACAGAAGGTGAGTGGATAAGAGAGGCAGGAAGGCCATTCTCAAGTATTTGAGTGAAACAGGATTGATTGGAATAATTTAAAACAACGTAAACAACACAATGGTATAATTCCACAAGAGGTGATTGGATGATATGGTGATACACTCTCTTGTACAGTAGGTGGCAGTATTCATCTTAAAGCTGTTTGCAATCCGCCAAAAACCGAGAGAAGAAGAAGAACCTGGATCCTCGTGGCGTCTCCTCTCTACGGTTCTCTCTCTCTCTGTGTTCCTGAGAAAGTGTGTGTGAGCTCCAGCTCTACTGGTCCATCATCTGTGTGTCTGGATAAACCTCCGAATGGACTGTGTGCTCTTTTTTCTGGAGCGTTTACCTCGGACTATAGGAGCTAGCTTAGCATGCTAGCTGGAAACACGTTAGCAACACTAGTCAGATTGAGAGTTTGATGCAGAGAGAAACGGTGTGTTTAACGGAGTCTGCAGGGAAAGGTGATCTAGGAAACATGAGTAAAGTCCAAATGCTGCTGTCGTTGAAGAAGCAGCGACTCACTGCTGCTAATGAAGAGACATTTGCTCTGTTTGAACAAATAATAGCAGAGCTCGAGGAGGAGCTGTTTCTTTCCAAAGAGGAGAAGAAGAGACTCCAGAAACTACTGGACGCTGTTTTACAGCCTCAGCTTCGGATACACAGAGCAGGTCTGTTCCCTTTACCCTTCATTAACACTTTACACTCTTCAGTAGCACTTTATTATCACATTAATAACACTTTAGACCCTTTATCAGCACTTGCTGCAGGTAGCAGATCCTGAAGTAAAAGTACAAACACCACACTGTGAAGAGTGTTCGAGCAAAGAGAGCAAACCTACCAAAATAAATATATTTATACAAATACATACATTGAATAATATGCCATTTAATGTACTGATTTAAATATGACCCATGCATGTGGGCACTAGTTGGTTAAAAGTGACATACATTGATACTTTAGTTTTAATGTTCTTCTTTATTCACCTTTTCTTTTTAAATGTGTAAAAGCAAATAAAAACAAATACTTTGGATTCATTCAAATTGCGGGAGAATAATTCATAAAGAAATCAATGAATAAATATTAGGGAAGCTCCGATCGATCGGCCACCGGACGATACTCACTCTCTACCAATCGATCGGGCTCTCAGGGGAGAGAGCGCTTCCGCTCATTTCTCCCGTGTTATTATCCACAGTTAATGTAAACCTGAATACTGTACTTCATTTGAATGTAATAATTATGTTGGTTGTTGTTTGTGTAAGCGCCAGTGAATGAGCCCATTAACTGAGTTTTAAACCTCACTTTAAGACCCCGGCCACATGAGGACGAAAACGGCTAAACGCATAGGATTAACGCAATCGCAAACAAGCTTCCGTCCACACGCAATAGTTATCCGGATAGTGTCTGCCCACACGATAATGCTCCGTTTAGCTCCAACCGCTGGAGAAGCTGCAGTACATATGCAGGAGCCTGTACGTGGCGCTGTAACTTCCTCCACAAAAGCAGCGAGTATAAAGTTCCCCCCCCGGATGTGTAAGGCACCAAACAAACAAGGTAGAAGATGGCTGATGCAAGAAAAGATCTGTTTTCTTGGACTGATGATGAGGTAGAACTTCTACTTAGGATCACATTATAATACAAAACGACTAAAATACAGGAGAATGTTGACTGGGAGTCCTGCAAGTCAAAGTATAGCGATATAGTCGATTTATTTCAGGCGCAGTATCCGACGACCGACACAGGGAAGGATTTCCCTCACCGCGTGGGCGCCATTACAAAGGCCCAGCTTGCCGCCAAGCTAAAACAAATCCGCATGAAGTACAGGCATGCGGTGGACACTGGGCGTCGGAGTGGCCAAGGACGTGTTGTGCTCATGTTTTTTGAGCTATGTGAAGAGGTCTGGGGTGGCTCGCCTGCTACGCGCAGCCTTACGTCGGGCATGGAGACGGGTGACCTGGAAGAGTCGTCTACTTCACCTCGGAGTTTGGAGCGTTCCAACGATTTGCCAGAGTCGAGCGAATCCAGCGGAAGTCTGCCAGCTGCTGCGGTTGTACAGCATCGCAGGGATCTGCTCCAGGTATGTTCATTATTTCAAGCTTAACGGACTACATACTACGATACAGTACCTTCCACAGAAAAACTGAACATGTTTAAGCTTTATAAAATTAGAAGGTATTGAGAGCTGTTGTATTTGTAAAAGTAGAAGGTATTGAAAGCTGTTGTATTTGTAAAAGTAGAAGGTATTGAAAGCTATTTCACAACATGCCTTTGGTCTTATGTTATCTGGTGGCGATGGTCCTATTGTGTAATAATACAAAAATGCTCTGGTTTATTCAAGGTGCAGCTGAACGGCCACAGAAGTGACCGCCTGAGGAGAAAACTTCCAGCTGACCATGCCATGCAGGAGGACCTCAAACTAAAAAGGAGGATGGTGGAGCTAATGGAGCAAAATCAACAAACATCCATCCGCAACGCGGAAAGCCTTCAGCAGATGAATGATAACATTCGGGAGGGCTTTTCCCTGATGAGGGAATTCATGCATGCGCAACCCCACAGTAGCAGCGGTGGACAATTCCCGGGACAGTCACCGTACCTGCATAGAAGTCCACAGCCTGCCTACACACCAAACCCCTCTACACCACACCTGCACACGATGACCTCTGACCCCCCACGGCAACCATCTCAGTTTTCCTACAGGCAGTCACTCTTTCCAGAAGACTATTAAAGCACCGAGCTTTAGTGAATATGTTTGTCCCTATTTGTGTTGCCAGTCAAGGTGTTCTATTCCTTGTTGCACTGTGAACATGTACAATGTGGACATTATAACTCTTTCAAATGTTCTTAATAAAAAAAACTTGCAAAATAACAGTCTTGTCTTTCATGTCAATGTACTCCGCAAGCACTCTTTACTGTCTTTCCCTCATTACAGTCAGTGAGATATCTATTACTGGCCAAGTTGACTAATAAAGCAGTGAGCTTCAGTTTTTTGCGTTGTAAGCCAGTTGTTTAATCCATAAGAACCCAGACCCGTTTCTACTTTTGGGAACATTAAGGAGATATAGACCACATTTCTGATAAATAACCCCCCCCTAGTGTCAAATATCTGAAATGTCACAGTGGGCTTTAATGGTAAAATAACTCATAACTTCATTAATGAGGATGCTTTTTTAGTTTAAATTGGTTTGAACATTGTTTGAACTGAAGAATAAAGGATATATTAACTTAATATAATTGAATCAGCTAAATTAACTGAGCAGATCATAATCATATTTTTAATCGTGCATATATGTCACTCCAAGTCAGGATGGAACATCAGTGTCACAGCGATGTTTGTCTCATTGGTTGTTTCATATCAATTTGACCAAGACATTTTATTATATTATGGGAACACAATATCACATGTCCTGGACCATGACCCACCAGACTGTTCAGTGTTAGGGACTTCATGAGATTGTGGGAGGGAGGCGTGAGAGTGCTTATCATGAACAATTAATTGTGATTTTATCAGAATCTTAATAAGGGGTTGTGTGATATTAATATTGCATGAGCCTCTGCTTAGATGTAAAACTGTATTATATTGTATAAAAACTGTATTATATTGTATAAAAAATCCCAACATGATAGTTAAAAAAGAATGTCTCCCTCCAATATCATTAATAATATCTCAACAGCAATATCAGTCTAAATAGAATGAACTACTTATGTTTTACAAATCATTTAGACCTACTTAGAGTACTAAAATGTGACAAAGAAACTATATCAAAGCCCCCCTTCTAACCCTCAGTAACACTTAATATGTTTCTCCTTTAAAAACTTCAGCAACAAACTGTTAGCCAGCCTGTTGTTGCGTGTGGCAGAAAACCCCACTGCACATGTCGTTGTGTCCCTGAGACGCTTCACCCCAAATTGCTCCTGTGGGAATTGCCCACAGTATTGAGTATGTAAGTCGCTTTGGATAAAAGCGTCTAACAAGTGACATGTAATGTAATGAGATAAAATAAAGGCTAAAGCTTTATAAGGAGCTTTCCAGACCATTAAAGTTCATGTGACACCGTGCCACGTTGGGTCCTTATGGGAAAGTATAAATATATGATACTGCGTTTGCACATTTGTTGCACTTTATGTTCAAAGAAAGTCTGGAAGTAGTTGCAGCCAATTTTATTTTTAATTTCACACTTTGAACATTGGAGAATCACATATTTTGTAGCGTAATGTTACATACATTAAGAAGTACTAAGTACAAAAAAAAAAAAAACTGTCACTGAAGGAGCTGCACAGTGAATGTAACAAAGAATGTTTATTAGATCTTAACACAGTAACCTTCCCAAAAAAAATACTACAGAAAGACTGTAAAAAAAATACAGTCTGTCTTTTATGTAGTCCTAAGGGTCAATGTAAGCCGTAAGCACTCTCCTCACTCTCTTTCCCTCCCCCTCATTACAGTCAGTGAGATACCTATTGCTCTGTGTGGGAGGCTGTACATCCCTTTCACCTTGAATTATTCCCACCACAGATTGATCATCCACAGCCTCCTTACTGGCCTCACAAAAATTGTGGAGGACAAAGCAGGAGTAAATGACATGGGGCAGTTCATCCATGTTTATGTCCATAGGCCTTCTGAGTGCAGCAAATCTGGCCTTGAGGCGACCAAAAGCACACTCAATGACCATACGTGCCCTACACAAAGTTAGCCCAAAGTACTGTTCCTGAACTGTGGAGCCACCGGTTGCATATTCCTTCATCAGGTACGGCAGCAGCGGGTAGGCTGGATCCCCAAGAAGATAAATTGGTATGGCCTCCTCCTCATCCACAATCCGTTTTCTCAGAGCAGGGATCTTTCCAGTTTTCAAGTACATGTTTAGCTTTGAGTTAGCAAAGACCCGTGCATCATGCACACTCCCAGGCCACTTTACCACGACATCCATGAATCGGTACTTGTAATCACACACGGCCTGTACATTAAGGGAATATCTGCCTTTCCTATTGATGTAGTCAGTGGAGTTGTTAGATGGCTGCTTGATTTCGATGTGGGTTCCGTCCACTGCTCCTAAACATTGTGGCATGCGATGCGCACAATGGAACCCCTCAACCAGATCCGCGGTCTCGGGCTCAGTAAAAGGCAGCTTGATATATTTTGGACCCAGGTGGATGGAGATCGCTCTGCATGTCTGCCTAATAATGAGGGACAAAGCCTGGCGCGAAACCCCGAAGGCGTTAGCAGTCTTCCGCATCCTTCCCCCATCGCTCAGGTAATACAGCATTAACGCAACCATTTTCAGTGGATCAATCGGTGCCCTCATGTTTGAGGTTTTCTTTTCGATATATGGGCGCAGTTCTTCGGTCAGGGCGACGACAGAGGCTCTGGACATGCGGAAGTTCTCCCTCCATTCATCATCCACGACAACGCCATTGACAAAATTGTCCCACCAAGTGCTGCTTCTGCCCGGTCTTACCCAAAATCTTCGCCTGGTTGCCCTTCTGGTTATTCCCCGCTGTAGTGTTAGCAATATGTAGGTCATGTTCTCCATGTCCTGTTTTTGCTGATGGAGGGTCTGCTGTAGATGTTGCACAAACAACTGTAGCATGGTCAGTAGCGTCCGGAGCACGATAGCAACTCTGCGATCCGCCATTGTTGTTGTTGTTGTTGGTGGCGAAACACATCAGCAATGGCGCGGGGTAAGCGGAGGTGAGCAGAAGAGGTGGGGAGAGACGGGGCTATTGCGCAATCACTATCAGAACATGTTTTGTATAGGGCGCACACACAGAGCCGTTTGACCCCCCAGAGCGTTGCGTATGCCGTTCGATCCACCTTGGGACCCGTTGTCGTTTCCTCAGTCGTTTAGTGCCGTATTCGGTCGTCCTCGTATGGCCGAATGGTCTATATGACACTAAACAGTAACGCAAACGGCCGTATTCGTCCTCGTGTGGCCGGGGCATAAATGGAAGATCCCCATAGGCCCCGCCCACTCGATTGGATCGGCGATCGGTATCGGCCGATGCTGATTCCGGCGATTGGCGATCTGCCCCAAAATTGGCGATCAGAGCATCCCTAATAAATATGTTCAATAATAAATTAAATCTAAATATAATCTAAAATGTTACTTGATAAAGAATAGTACAAAGGTCATTAAATAATTAAAACATTAATATAAATTAATGTAAAATCTCATCAACCAATCAATTATTGCCAACATGTATTTATGATATATTCTGTATATTTATATTCTTATTTAAGTAAAAGTATGTAAGTATTATTAGAGACAGGTACTTTATTATAATAATTAAAATGTATTACGGAAGACCAAACCTACCAAAATAAATATATTTATAAAAATACATATTGTGTAGTGATCACTTATTAACACACTGACATATAATTCACTCATGGAACTACAGGTTGGGGGTATTGTTTCCGCACAGACATATATGTGGTTACCTATTTATATATTGTGTGCCCTCCTGGTTTCTTTCTCTTGTCTTCCCGGGCTGTCACCCGACAAGATGTCCGTTTCTGCTGCTCATTAAAGCCAGCTACATACCTTCGATGCACCGCCTCCGACTGCTATCTCCCGGCACTACAACATTGAATAATATGCCATTTAATGTACTGATTTAAATATGACCCATGCATGTGGGCACTAGTTGGTTAAATGTGACATACATTGATACTTTAGTTTTAAAGTGCTTCTTTATTCACCTTTTCTTTTTAAATGTGTAAAAGCAAATAAAAACAAATACTTTTGATTAATTCAAATTGCGGGAGAATAATTCATAAAGAAATCAATGAATAAATATTAGGGATGCGCCAATCGATCGGCCACCGATCGATATCGGCCGATACTCACTCGCTACCGATCGATCGGGCGCTCTAAAAATGCCGATCGCGAGAGCCGATCGCATGACGTAAAATGATGACGTAAAATACATGACACTTTTCTCTGTGCGCGGCAAAACAAGCTCGCCAAAATGGCTTCACCAGTCTGGCAGTATTTTAAGGTGTCCGAAAAGGACAATAAAATAGAGGCAGAAATCCTGCAGCTCCACCCGCTGTGACGGACCTGTGAGCGGAGCGAACCACACACTAATGGCGCGTTTCCACTGCAGCGGGTAGCTCACTTTAAGCGTGCCGAGCCGTGCGGGGCCCGTTTTTTCCCCCCACTTGGCTTAGTACCGGCTAGCGGGTCCTAATTCACAGTTTTTCTGGCCCCATAAATTCGTGGTTATAGGGCCAGGAACAACCAGGCTGAGTCGGGCTGAGTATGCTAAACTAGAGAGAGAATCGCTGGCAAGGGGGCTACAACTACAACAAGATGAACATATTTGACCGTGATTTAATTGTAATACACGTTTCAAAATTAAAAATATAGGCCTAACCAAACCGAGCGAGGCCTGCAGTGGAAACGCGCCATAAGAGTTAGACCTAACACACTTAGCTATTTGATCTACCTCTGGAACAAGCTAAACTAGTTGTACATATGTTTATTCTTCACTGTCGGGTCACTCATTACTGGATCAGTGAGCTGCATGAGATACTGACAGGCTGTCGAGAGAGGGGGAGAGGGAGAGGGAGGGAGGGAGAGAGACAATTTCTCCCGTGTTATTATCCACAGTTAATGTAAACTTAAATAATGTACTTAATTTGAATGTAATGATTATGTTGGTTGTTGTTTGTGGAAGCGTGAATGAGCCCTGTCGTGACTTCCTTCCTTGTTTTTACATCAAGCCACTAGACCATGGATGTATAATAAGAACTGGATACAGCGTGGGAGGCAGGGCCTCATTCATTCCTATGAGAGTTGCTCATTGGCGCATGATGATAAAATGGCCCAACTTTTGAGAGAGCGAAACGTCACAGAATACCCGGCATGCCTGAGAAGTACCCGTATGTGCGCTCTTAGCGCATGCCTAACTTTATCCATGCCCCCCAAAAGGCTCGTTCACGTCAATTTGCGTACACGTAACAGCACCGCGCATTCATGACAGCATGGTAATGGATTGTTATTATGATGGCTTTGATATTAACAAGGCGGCAGTTAGCAGCTAGCGGCTAGCTAGTAATTATGCTAATTTGCACATCAATCGTTATGTACTTTTATATTACGCTGTATCAGGATCTAGTGATATCCATGCAACAGAGCTTCATTTAGCATGAAATAATTATTGCACTGTATATATATATATATATATATATATATCCATCTATCTTCTCCCGCTTATCCGTGGTCGGGTCGCGGGGGTAGCAGTTCCAGCAGAGAGCCCCAAACTTTCCTTTCCCTGGCCACATCAACCAGCTCTGACTGGGGGATCCCAAGGCACTCCCAGGCCAGTGAAGAGATATAATCCCTCCACCTGGTCCTAGGTCTACCCCTTGGTCTCTTCCCAGCTGGACGTGCCTGGAACACCTCCCTAGGGAGGCGCCCAGGTGGCATCCTAACTAGGTGCCCGAACCACCTCAAATGGCTCCTTTCGGTCATCCTCCCGGATGACCGAACTTCTCACCTTATCCCTAAGGGTGACACCAGCCACCCTGCGGAGAAAACCCATCTCGACCGCTTGTATCCGCGATCTCGTTCTTTCGGTGATGACCCAATTTAGAGACAATGGACGTCCATTCTCGGGAGACGTCTGACAGTGGTGCGGTTGCCCAAAGTGACAGACCTCATTTTACCTCTATTTAGAGGTAATGGACGTCCACTCTCGGGAGAGAGACCTCCAGCATGTGTCCCTGAAATGGGGACTCAGGTTATTTCACACATCCAGGACAGAGACTGGGGAAATCACCTTTCTGTGGCCCCTCCAAGACCCCCAAAGGACAGACTACAGACCTCCAGCATGTCTCCCTCCATGGGCACTCTGCTTATTTTACACCTCCAGGAGAGAGACCAGTAATGGCACCTCTATGTGGCCCGTCACAGAGCCCCAAAGGACGGACTAATGACCTCCAGCATGTCTCCCTCACATGCGCACTTCCATAACCTTGGACACCGTGAGTCCCCGGGCCCCCGGACTTAAGCACTCCCCCACAGACTAAACCCAGATGATCACACCCTACAGAACCTCATGCCCCTGGTAACACTTAAAGGTGGTGGATTTTGTGGTCCTTTACTGTCAGCCCTTCTTCACGGCACCACCACCCCCCTTCTGTGGAGGATATTCTCATGCTCCTGGCAAAATGACAGGCTAAAACCGAGGAATAAGTGTTTGAAAGGCGGGGAAAAGTTGTTTAAAATAGTCTGATACCTCCAGGGCGCATCACCGCATTTTACAAGCCAGGGAAGGTGTATGAATCCTGGGTAAACTTTGTTTAAATAGTCTGATACCTGGCACTGTATCAACCCCTGGGAATCTTCAAGGTTATATAAATGTTTTTTTATTTATTTAATTATCACACGATTTTTACAAAAACAGTATACACAATATGCATAATAAACATGATTAGCGGGGGCCCGTCTAACTTGTACGGTGCACCGGGGAAAAAAGGCTGAGTCCACGGCCCCTACCCCCACATCAGGAGTATCAACCGGCCCTGAAGAAGAGGTATCGCTGCTCTCTGCCCCTGAGCCCTCTTCGGAGGTATCTGACGGTGGTAGAACTCCTTCCGATGATGCTGCTGCAGCTGCTGCCGCCCTGAACATGGAGCGGATCTTCAATCCCTCCTTTATTCCAGGCGTATTCGCGTAGAACCGGTCTGCAGTGCTTACGTCGTGACACATAAACCTGGCGAGAATCGACCTGCTTTCTGGATCTTGGTGATGCTTGATATTGTCAGCCAGGGCAGTGCGCAGGATTGTGAAGGTGACGGCTGTTTCTAGCCCAGCATCAGCCCAAGCCCTCTTCAAGTGAGCGTTCAGGTTCTTGGAGGCATGCTTCCCCGTTGTGAAAAGGAAGAATTCATTCTGAGGACCCGACAAGCCCTCTTTTATCCCCATCCACCGCATGACCCAGCTAAACTCCTTTACTGTAAGCACCAGCTGTGCTTCGCCAAATGTCTTGGCAGTCTTGTGATCCTGCACATGGATGATGTAGCCCTCAGCAGTGCCCCTTCTGTCCGCCTCCAAGACCTCAGTGTTGGTCATGTTTGCGTACACACCCGGATGGTGGCTATACAGGAGGCTCCAATGGAGGGTTAGATAGCTATATAGCAGGTACTGGGGGATTGAGGTCGGATTGCAAGCCATCAGGTCAAGGAGATCAGGGATGCGCTTCTCAGCGGCCGCCATGGCGGCGAGAAGCTCCGCCTGGCTCGGCAGACGATCCAGCTTGTTCCTCTTCACCTTAAACTGGTGGACAGTGATAGACTTTTTCAAGTTGTTCATGTTGGCTTTCACCTCTCTGATGATGTGGGTCATATCAGACTGGGTGAGCCTGCACCCCCGGAGTTTTGACTCAGACAAGTACCTCAGGAAATGGTTCACATTCTTCAGGAACAACAGCGATGTTGTGACTGCCCGGCCCGACTTTACAATATACTCGCTCCAGCCACGGACCCTCTTCGTGTCTTTTAGGAACAGCCAATCGGACAGCCGGTTAACACCATGGGCCATGAATACGAGGAAGTTCTTTATCCGGCTGACCTTGGACAGACAATTTTATTTCTGTTTTACTGTCGGTGCGACACCCTCACAATGATCCCTGTATGTCTGAATGTACGTCTTCATGCTTTGAGGCAACGTGATTTCACGCTTGGTATTCTCCCGTC